CATTATCATATGTATGTATGTACGAATATTCGAGTATTAGTTGAGATCTTTATATGTATAACCTGAAAGAGATATTGTATAGTAGGGAAGAACTTCATGGGAAAAAAATTCAACAATGTTTAATAAGTTATACCATCCACTGTGAATGTGAAGTCCATTTTGATCTTATTTTAAGTTAAAATTGTATAAAATGTTCTGGATGTCAAAGATTTGATGATATTTTTACTTGTTTACCATTTACCATCTATTAAAAAGAAATCTTCAAATACAAAAAAAAATATTTAGAAAAATGACCCCTGCGTAATACCAAATAAATGCTAATCGGTAATGTTGTGTGATGCTCAACAAGCAATACTATGTTCAGTGATATCAAATCTACCATTTCAATCTATTTAAAACAGTGCTGCTTTAACAGGAGGAAGTTATCAAAATTTTGTCAGTTCCTTTAGTACTATAGCCAAAATGTGCCACTCATGTATCGAAAACGATAGGTGTCTGATTCACAAGCACTTTGATGAAATTTCATAATCATGTGCTATTTTCAGAAAGAGATAACTCATTCCAAACATCATATACATCTTTCATTCTTGCATTGAAGATGCATTAGTGTAACTAGACTATTAATTGAGGGTTGATAATTCTTTAGAATGTAACTAGAATATTCAGTGGTTTATTTTCAGGAATTTTCATGCATGGAATGAGTTAACTTCTCGATTATTCATAAACCAATTTTCTTAATTTTTCGGCATAAAAATGTGAGAATGAATGCTATGCATTGAAGTGAATGATCCCTAATCAAAAGATATGTGTGACCTCTAAAACCCATGTCAAATTGGTTACAACTTTTCGAACAAAAAGTCCTTCAAATACCAGTTTCTGAAATTGAAAAAAAGTCTCACATATCACACGTTGATAACATTTGGTAAGGCTACAATATAAACCAGTGATTAAAACTTTAGATGGGGGCTTTAAGTGTTCTTAAAAAAATAGTAACAAAAATAAAGGAATATATTTTTACTTGAAAATAATTTTAGTCTCGTAACAGGTGATGCAAATGCATCTTGTATGGTTTCATTACGTATACATACCGTGAACGTGAAGCGTTATTCCGCTACATAACATCTTCTTGTTTAGATCATTTGACGCACAACATCTATACATCCCAGCCTGGTTCTGTTGTATGTTGATGACTCGCTTTGTATCTAGGACTCGTCAATAGTTACATTCGATTGGTCAGTTGGTGTAAATGTCCATGTGTATGCAGGTGGAGGGTTGCCGCGGGATTTGCCATGTAGTTGTACGTTATCTCCTTCTGTGACATATACGACTGCCTTGTCGTCCAAAGCTTCACCATCAAAGAAAATGACAGGCTTCTCAGCTGGATCTAAAAATATGTCATAAACAGAACATCTAACATTTTTCTCTTTCATGAGTTCAATTCTAACATGTATCTATATTATTGGCTCGCATTTTGTTATTGCTGATTTAAAACACGAAGAGATCAACACTCCTATCACTAAAAACTAAATCGACTATATTACTAGATAAGAGGTAAGAATATCCTTACATTGTACATCAAGTTTAATAGAACAGCGACGTTTGAAATTCAGGACGCTGATTGACATTGTACAACAAAGTTCTTCTTGATCATTCAAACGAGAGAGTGTCTTCCGAAACTCAGACCTGAACCACCCTGGTGTTGTCATGTCAGTCACCGCGGTATGGACAGTGCCTGTAGTGGTTGTACGGAAATATTTAAACGTCTTCGGGAATTTAGGGCATATGTATATTCGAAAGATTGAAGGTAAAATTTAGATTTTAACAAATGTTTATTGTTTATATTTAACATTACCATTAAGTTCCCAGGTAATAGTTGGCTTCTGCGAATCATCTTTGTGCCCTGCATATTTGCCCTGACAGCTCATAGTAATCGTATCGTTTTCTCTTGATGTCAACATTTCTGGGGGGCACGGTTCTAGATCTGTAAATATTGTTATCATCAATTTATTGTTATCATCATCTGATTTTCAGACAAACGAGGGTGCTTCATAAAAATGTCAAGATGTCAAGAACTGTTATATGAGTGTCATCCATATTGACTTGACGCATGTATCAAAACTCCTCAAATATAAACTTTGGTGATATTAGATATTCATTGAAAAATGAATAATGATATTATATATTATATTTATTCCATAATACTACTGTTTTCCCTGGGAAATAAAATCATATTATCCCTCTTAAAATCATATATACTCGAAAAATCATATTATCCCTGTAAAAAAATCATATATACTCGAAAAATCATATTGTCCCTGTAAAAAAATCATATTGTCCCTATTATTTTCAAAAAAAAAAAATTCAAAAAAATCAATTTTTTCATTTCTTTCAAAAAAATTGATTTTTCCAATTTTTTCCCAATTTTCGAAAAACAATTTTTTTCAGAAATTTTAATTTTTCCAAAAATTGCAATTCTTCAAAGATTTTCATTTATTTGTAAAAAAATCGTTTTTGAATCATTTTTTAATTTTTTTCAAAAATTTTCAATTTTTCAATTTTCTTAAATATTTCTTTTTCCTTGAATTCTCAACTTGATTTTCAATATGAATTTTATTCCTCGGGAAATATGACATTGACCTCGGTAAATATTATATTGACACTCACTCGCTACGCTCGTTCGGTCAATATCATATTTCCCTCAGTCAATATCATATTACCCTGGAATAAAATTCATATTGAAAATCAAGCATGAAATAACCTATATATATATGACTTTATTCATTACAGAAAATACAGCTGAAATATATTATCAGTACATGTAATTCAAAGTTTTGTTCATATCAGTATGGTTACTGAACTAGACAACTTTACAAAGAGCTTTTAATAATAAAATAAAACAATCAACAACAGGATGCAATTGACGCCAGTGTAGATAATAAATGTTCATCTTTATATAATTGCATGTGAAGTCACATGTATGTAACCATGTGACCAAAACCAAATGAGTGGATTGATAATTTCCTAAAATCCCCAATTTTGTAGACAGGAAAATTCCTGTCAAAATTCCTCATCCTGGCAATTGAAACAATAAAGCACATTATATTGCATATAATGTTTATTTATTATTAATTTTGGACCTGTTAAACATAATGCGGTTGTCGGAATGTTTTGGTATGAAAATTGTTATTGTCGTCTTGTTTCTAACTTGGTCGTTTACTTATTTCGGCAGAAGAGATATCCTACAATGAGACTGTTGAAGATATAATAATACTACTTACCCAAAACAACTAACCAATGGTTCTGATCTTCAACCGGCATTCCAGTATACACATCATTACAAGTGTACTTCCCAGCGTCAGCAATGCCTACAGTGTGTATTAGCAAATTGTAAGGCTTCGTGGAACTTATGGTGAACTTGTTTTGCATGTCAGTCGCTTGGATGTCCCCATTGAGTGACAAGGGTCGACCGCCTGTTCTATCAGAATACGCGATCCATTGTATAAGATGGTTCTCACCCGAAATAGTAGTGTTGATGTGGCAAGTCAACTCAGCATTCTGCCCGGATATGGCCGCTATATCTCTTGGACCATCTATTACAACAACAGCAGTGTCTTGAGCTAAAATATGAATTTTCCGGTTTATGATTGCATTTAGGAGAAGGTCTTCAAAGCTTTTTAAGTAAGGGGAATTAACCTCAAGAAAAATATGATTTATCAGAATAACCTTAACACCCCAGTCACATTTCCTGCGGCCGCCGTGCGGTCTATCATTTCTGCGGCCAGTTGCTTTTCTACGCTCGCCGCAGAATTTCTGCGCTCTCATACTTTTGCAGTCACATTTCCCACGGCAGTCGCACGGTGAATTTTAAATTTCTGTTGATAAATACTTTTTTCATTTTATTTACATCGGGACAATTTATAAATGTTATTCATAGTGCTAGGATGTAATATCAAATGAAAAGTGATCGTGAAACATCGACAAATAATGATTCAATCTTGTT